TCTGTAGTATATAAAGTAGAATTCATACTTTGCACATTTTGTTAGTTTATGCGTGAAGAATTTGAAGAGAGCTCAATTATGTAGGTTTGCTTAGTCTAAGCTTTCCTATCACATATTAGAAGTCAAGTGTTTGTACTGTTTTGGTTTGGGTGAGTGTTTTGATATTATTGCATACAATTTGTAAGCTTCAAGGTTGAAGCTGAGTGACAGAGTACTAGGGAGTACAGAGTGAATCTAAGTTAGGGACTTAGGTTGGATAGAATAGGTGGTTCTATTGTGTAGCAAGTTCAGTCTGGAACTTGTATGTAAAAGGTCTGATATGATTATAATAGGTTGTACCTAGGAGAGTTTGCCCTATTATAATGAAGTGACTTGGTGTTTGAAATCCCTTAGAAGATCGAGGTTTTACTTTCACCTGGGCCTTAGAAGGTTTCCTCATAAAATGATGTGTGCATTGCAAGTTCCTACTATATTATGTCTTATATTCCGCAAGAATATTCACTGGAACCTCACATAGAATTCACCCCCCTCTTGTGGTGTTCTTCTTCTTAAACAACAAGTATAAGTGTCCTAATTTTGCATATATATATCATGTACATCCGTAGACTAGCTTATCATTTCCAAGAAGGGAAGACCGCCCCCCTCCACCAAATTTTGGACCCAAAATTTTATTACATTGTAAGAAAATATCCATGAAAAGGTTTATTCCAATGAACTTCCGATTGGCACTTATCCACGTCTTTAATTTTAAATTTTACCATTGATAATTGGCATTAATCACGACATAACAACTATCAACGTTAATTGGATGTTGTGATTGCTTGAGACCTTGAGTAGTTTCGAATGAAAAGTCTTAACTGGAAGGAAAAGATGAACCTACAAGAAATTTGTGGTTAAAGTTGACGAAAATTCACAGTGCCGTACTTCTGACTATGACTATTGATTATCGTTTGTATTTGCCCACGTTATTTGTTCTTGCATAATTAATTACGTTACAAAAATGAAATGACACAATTGATAGTATAGTAGCCCTCAAATTTAAGGAAAAATGAACGTATGTAGTAATCCGTACCATATATACTAGATTATTGACACGTAGTGTGGCTGACATTTGTCTCAAATGATATGTCGGTTTCACAGTCTAGCATGTTAATTTAGGGTTTGTTTTGACATTGTTTTTTATTTTTAGTTTATAGTTTTTTTAAAAACAAAAAATCAAAAACAGTAAACAAAAAAAAGGTGTTCCACTATTTTGTTGTTAATTTTAAAATTATCATGATTTTAATGAGTTTGTCTAATTTTATTTTATTATATGATATACATCATATGAGCTTACAAAACAAAGAAAACATAAAACAGAAAACCACGGCCAATGACCAACGATCCAAGGTGTTTATTGACATTGCCTAATAGGCTAGTAACAAGATATGTGTAGGAGCAGGGCCAACTTTATGTATATGGTTTCTAATTTTCTACAACTACACAACTAAAGCCCAGGACTCGCTTTTGAGAATTTTGACCTTCTAGCTACTTTATTTCCCCAATAATTCTCTAGTGTATTGTTAATTGTTTCTAAACCTTAGGATATACGACTGTGTTTAGATTTAAATTCAATTATACATACTATGATGTCTTTAATTTTTATTTTCGTTTTTTTTTTACACTATTTTTGTTCAATAAAGGCATTGGTTTTTTTTGGAAAAAGGCATTGGTGTTTAAATCTTCTAATGCGATAGATTTTTAATTATTAAATTACTTTTAATCCGTTTGTGAGAGTCTGTCCCAATTTTTTTGGGTTTTTCCCAATTTTTTGGGATTTTGATTCTCATCTATGGATGAGAATTTTATTTTTAGGGTTTTAATAACAATTGAGAAGGTGACTTGGATTCATATGGGTTTAGGGTTCGTCATCAACTCTACGATCAAAACATCAGCGCAAATTGCGAAGGTCTCTAATTGGAATGATGCAAAGACATCGAAAATCACTACTCGCGTCAAGTTTGAAGCGGTGGAGTGTGAGCTATGCCCGATATGCAAAATAGTTATGTTTTTTTATTGTAAAAGTTATGTTATTTTCTCTAGATCTGTGGTTTACAAATCTTTATTATTGTTGTAGATGCCGTATGACTATTTATTAATGATAATATTCTTCTTCTTGTCAAAAAAAAAATGTTATGATTCTTAGTTAAAATAACGTATACAGTTAACGATAATTTCATTTTAAATAAATTTTGGCAATATTAATCTCATTATTTGTTATCATTATTTTAATTGCATACTTGTATCTATATGTATCGCATACATTTAGTTGTGATCGGCCCCTTAAAGAAATTTTTTCAAGATTTGTCACTGACCAAAACGATGTCAAACGAACCCTAATATGTTAGTTTAAACGAATTTACGGTGTGAAATGAATATCTTTTTTTTTTTTTTTTTGAGGAAACGTGTGAAATGAATAGCTTACGTGTATGTAAGTTGGAGATAAGGACGGAAGCTAGATAATTAATCTTTATTGGAGTGTGTTTGTGCTCATAAACGGGATATATGTAATAGGTATGTTTAAGAAAAAAATAAGTAGAAGTGGAAGTTAATAACAATTTTTTTACTTTGTGAGTGGTGCACTGAAAGCTATTTTAAGGGTTTTTGGTTATTTTTTTATATAAAAAGTACACATAATTGAAGGAATATGTTTTTTTTTGGGTAGCTCTTGGTTAATTTTCTTAAAAATTTAATTAAATTTAAAATATAGAATCGGTCTAGTATTAATTACGAGGATGGAATTGAACTTTGGATTTATTTGAATGAAAGTTGAAAAAAAAAACTATGAAATTATAGTTCCTCTGTTTTATAATGTTAGGCCCTGTTTGATTCACCTTAAAAAATAAATATTAAGTAAAAATAATTTCAGTTCAGTAAAAATAAGTTCAGTTCAGTAAAATTAATTTCAGTTCAGTAAAAATAAGTTCATTTCAGTAAAATTCAGTTTTCTTAAAGAAGAATTATAATAGAAAATCAGTAAAAATAATTTCAGTTCAGTAAAAATAATTTAAGTTCAGTAAAAATAATTTCAGTTCAGTAAAATTAAGTTCAGTTCAATAAAAATAAGTTCAGTTCAGTAAAAATAATTTTAGTTCAGCAAAATTAAGGTGAATCAAACAGGGCCTTAGTCCTATTTAGAACATTTTAACTCTTAACAATTATAGAGGGAATCTTTTAGATTTTTCTCCATATATAATAACAAACATACTCATATGATATCTAGTATAGTTTTATTCGTCTCGATAGTACTTATTAATGTCTAATTTTTAAAATATTTGATAGTGTTAGATTAAAGATATTTGTAATAAAAAATTTGCATTGATATACGTAAATGAGATTAACATTATGAAATGGATAGATTATAATAGATTTCTGGTGAACAACTTTAATTCACTAATTAAGGGTCTGTTCTCATACGTTGAAATTCAGTTCAGTTCAGTTTAGCTCCTAATTTACTTCTCTTACAAAATATTCATTTCAGTTCAGTTCAGTTCAGCTCCTAATTTCCTTCTCTTATAAAATATTCATTTCAGTTGAGTTCAGTCAATAAGAACAAACCCTAATACTCATTATCAATTGATTTTAGTATGGAGTTACAATACAATTAGACTTTCCACTAACATGCATAGATGTGTTTTTTGGATACCCTGTCATCCATTTATTAGTCTAAATTTGAGATGGTATCGTAATTTATGTCAATTTAAGTTTTCTTCAGCCTCTCTCCCCTCTTCTCTACTCTCTAAAAATCCTATCCTTCAAATAGTGTCGTAATTTATATTATATTAGCCTTCTGACCCGTTTAATACACGGGATTATTCATAGAAAATGGTATTAAATTTTTAAATACTAAATATAAATTTGTCGTGCTAGTTGTTGGGGGCCTTGGGGCGAAAAAGTGAATTGAAGCACATACAGTCAATTTGGTTGAAAATTCTATTACTCCTACTATGTAGATAGTTATATACTTTAAGAGTCATTTTAACCCTGACATTCCAAAACCCCACCTCTTAATTCTCATGCACCCCCCCCTCTATTTTGCCTCCAAATAACTTCCACTTCTTTAACAAAAGTAAAAATTTATTTTTTTTAAAAAAAAGTAAAAATTATTCTCCAAATAACTTTCATTTCTCCGTATTATTTTTCCTAATCACATACTAGCCGAAAAAACTACCTATTTTTATTATATTATCCAATATTTTTTTTTCAAAAACACTCTAATTTAACAAGAAATCTATATTATAATTGCCCTTTTTTTTTCCTAATTTTTTTAGCACAACGCTTGAAAACTTAATCTTTAAATTATGTGCAGTTCTTTTTTTTTAACTAATATTGCCACCATAAGAAATCTTTAGATTAAGCAATCTTGCGTTTCCCAGCTAATTAATTAAACTACTCGCTACTTAGAAGCAGTAGTGTTTTAGTTCGATTAGTAATCTGTAATCATTATTAAAAACTCAAATTATTAAAGTCCTTTCAGAAGTATTTATGTTGACAAAATTTAATTCTAAATCGATCATGAGTTCCACGGTATTTACTTCCACTCTTAGGGGACATTTAGTTAGTGTATTTTTAAGTTTGAAACGGAATCGATTAACCATACCATGTGTTTTAAGGCATGGTATGATTATCCCTCACTTGTTGTTACCTCTAAAAAACTTGGGGTAGCAAATACCCTAATCCTCCTCTTAACAAATATCAGTTTCATGGTTAAACCAAATAAATAAAAGGTAATAGTTAAATAATTTTGTTTTCTTTTCACTCCGTTTCCGTTTTCCGAACCAAACGCCCCCTTAATACTTAAAACCGGTTAGCCCACATATTACCGTAGCTTATTAGATGACATTTATATGCATGTATATGCCGACTACCTTCACATATACGTAGTACAACGGTAATCAATTAAGTCTAAAAATGAAACTACGTGGTACAAGCATATATTAGTATATATACGTAAGTAGTAGGCCCCCACCCCCTCTCTCTTGATTCCTCCATTGTTATAAATTATAATACTCGCGAAACCACAATAGTTTCAAAATCAAATAACCCTACTAAAGTTTCTTCATTAACTCCAAATAACATTGAAAAAAAAAAAATGGGAGGAGAAGATAACAATATGATCAAAGAAACCTTCTTCATAACCCATGGAAACCCGATTTTGACCGTGGTAGACACTCATCCCTTAAGGCCATTCTTTGAAACATGGAGTGAAAAAATATTTTTGAAAAAGCCGAAGGCGATACTTGTGATCTCTGGTCACTGGGAAACTAATCATCCTGCTGTTAATGCTGTTCATATCAATGATGTTATCTATGATTTCGATGACTATCCTGAAGCCATGTACCAGGTAATATTTTCCTATTTTCAAACCTTGCCTTGTTTTATACGAAGTACTAGTTTAAATAAAAAATAATAATTGTTACCATAAATATATTTCGTAATGATCTAATATCTTTACTTTTTTTCATAATTTTCCAACCGGATACAATAATTTTAAGTAATGTCACACCTTCTCTCTCTCTTTAAAAAAAAAAAAAGTAATTTCACAAGACTCACACCTCACACGTCAAGTTAGTCAGGCTTGACATTTTTTTTTTGTCTAAACGTAGGGTTAAATCTTTATGGAAATATTATACACTTGATTATGTGAATCAAGTAACAAAATTTTTTATTTGGTTGAATATGGATCAGTTGAAATATCCAGCTCCAGGGTCACCAGAGTTGGCTAGCAGTGTAGAAGAAAATCTGAAAAAATCCGGGTTCGACACGGTGCACATTGACAAAAAACGTGGGCTTGATCATGGTGCATGGGTGCCTCTTATGTACATGTATCCGGAGGCTGACATTCCGGTATGTCAGCTCTCCGTTCAGCCAAAATTGGACGGAACGTACCACTACAACTTGGGACGGGCGTTGGCGCCGCTGAAAGACGAAGGTGTACTCATCATTGGTTCCGGAAGCGCAACACACCCTTTGGACGAAACCCCTCATTATCATGGTGGTGTTGCTCCTTGGGCTGCTGACTTTGATTCTTGGCTTGACGTAGCTCTCACTAAAGGAAGGTAAATTGCACGAGGGTGACGTTTTTAGCTTAGCCTTTGATGCACATATTTTCTAATACAAGTATCAAGTATAAATTGTAGGGATGACAAATGATGAAATGACAATGGGTCAGATCTTGTCTACGACCAATCCGGAATGGATCCAAATCCATTTTCTAAATGTGGCTATATGCTGATCCAAAAATCCTAAATCCATAGGTAGATATGATGGATAAGAATCTACATGAAAATCTTGTTCTTTTTTCAGGAAAAAAAAAAAAAAAAAAACCTCTTATTAGTCTATGAATTATGTCAAAATCTGATAAAAAAATTGCTTTAAGTTCATTTATTCGACTTAAACAAATATCCTAAATTATTTTATAAGCTATTTATTGTTAACTTTTACTTGTACAATTTTGTTGTAAAATACCAAAAAAAAAAAAAAAAAAATGATCTTGGAAACATAGTTCAAATCCATATTCGATTTTCAATTCGAAAATGTACAAGTCCAAACTTGAATAATAAGCCCCAAATTTGAAGACCTTGATCTAGGAATGGAAACGGAAAAATAAGGGGTCAGATTTGAACCAAATCCAAATTTAGACCTGGATCTAGCTAGATTCGTGGATTTGAATTTCCATATCCAAATTTCATATGTAGATCTCTGGATGCACATATAATTAGAGATATTGATTCTTAAAAACATGTATTGGCAACTGTGATAATAGAAATGTGTCAATTAAAAAAAAAAGTAAGACATAACGTAGTCTATTGGGTATTATTTGATTCGTTTCAAACTTTCAACGAATATATTATTAATATTCAATTGTTATATTTTTCATTAATAAGTAACTAACGATATTTGTGATTAAAGATTTACATTGACAAACGTGCACAAAAAACCAAATGGAGAGGGAGGGAGAAATGCATAACTCACACAAACTGTAAAACAATTTTAACAGAATTTTCTTATTTATTTGATGGTGGAAGCCTGGTAGGTAAAAAAAATTAAATTCAAAAGTTGTTCCACGATATGATAGCCCTAGCTTTTTGGTAAACATTTGAATTGAGTGGGCAATGTGGATCTTGCTGCAGGTATAGTGTAAGAATGTTGAAATTATAATCTAAGATATGAGAGAAGGGAAAGAAAAAAAATAATCCTTGTATTTAATCAAACTTACAATAAAAGCATTATATAGTTATATACTTATATAGGCATAACAAACAGACAAGGGATGCATAACGCCATAACCCCATATTCCCACGTAACAACTTACTGTCCCACGATATATCCAACAAAGAATTGGTAAAATACTCATTGTTTGGGTCCAATTTAGTCCAAATTGGGCCTAAGCACTAAATGATCCAATTAAAAGCCCAAGGTCAAGGTTCAACTCTCCAATTGTGCAAAAGTCAAGGGTCAGCCCACAAAGCAAGCCAATTGGGCTAAGGCCCAACCTCTCCATATATGATGAGGTATAAAAGCTATCATATTGTCTCATTCAAGGGGGGATTCATATTCACATTCATATTCATTCATAGATTCACATGTTGATTCATACATTCTGAGATATTCCATAAAAGCCTCAAGCTACAAACTCTCTTGCATAGTGTCTTCCTCTTACACATTGTACTGACTTTAGCATCGGAGGGGCCTTCCTCGGCAACACCCCCGAGGCTAGTTTACGTGTGTTTACTGTGCAGGAAACCTTCGGCCCAACATAACTTGGACCGAATCCAGTCTTCTCCATTTCAGCGGACCTTCGGCAAGGTCCCATTGTTTTCACCCGAAACAATTTGGCGCCGTCTGTGGGGAAGACTTTCAAAAATCTTTAAGCCAAATTCCTAACCAAGATCATCTTGCAATTATTCTAGCAGCAATGGCTAAGAACCGCAAGAGCAAAAGCCTCCGTCAAGGAGCGGGCGAAAAGCCTAAAACCCCTACACCATCGCCCTCGCCGGACCGGAACTCTCCCAAGGGTGCCGGCTCGGGGGGAGGATCATACAAGGAGGATTCCCTATCTCCCGTAATTCATGACTCTCAATATAGGCCGGGCCACTCTCGGTCTAGCAGGGGTCAATCCGATCACAGGACATATTCAGTGTCCCAAAGCCAACCATCGGCTGCGCGGCCTCATTCCCACACTCGGCCGAGGACCCCTTTGACGGGGCCCAGTTCGGAAGAGGTGGCAAGAGCGCTGGCAGTACTCATGGAGGCGATGAGGGCACAAAATATGCCACCACCTCGTGATCGAACTCCTCCGCATACCCGGCATTAGCGGAGGAAGTTAGACCATGATGGTGGGAAGCTTCCTTCCTTCCGGGAACTGGAAGAGTGGGAGGAGGATTCTTGGAAAAATGAAAAACAGAGGAAAAAGAACCCTCAATTTTTAAAAGGATCCTCATCCTCAAGACCAGAAGCGCATAAGAGCAGCAGCTCAGCTTCTCGGCCAGAATCTACTCACCGAGAACCTGAGACTGTTCGCAGAAGCGTCCTTGACCGACTCGGCGGCCAGGAACCGAGCGTGCGTAGTCGCCTCTCGTTCCCTGTAGCCGAGGCCCAGACTTCCCAGCCAGGGACGAAAACCACTCCTACCTCTCTAAGAGGGCGGAGCGCGGTCCCTTCGGCCAGGAACAAGGGCAAGGCCGTTATGCTACCCGCTAGTTCACCATTCGAGCAATGGATACTGGAAGAGCGCGTACCCACGGTTAAAATCCCTTCGCACATCACATATGACGGGACCACGGATCCGAAGGACCACGTGGCCTCGTATGAGACTCATATGCATCTTTGCCCCAGATCCGAGGCGACTTGGTGCAAATATTTCCCAACCACTCTCAAGGGGGTCGCGCAAGCGTGGATCTCCAAGGGAGTAAGGCAAGGCTCCATAACAGGGTGGGATGATCTGTCCTCCAAGTTCAGGAGCAAGTTTTCCACGGCAAACCGCCGAGAGAAGACTACCGCAGAGCTCATGAGTCTGCAACAGGGGGAAACCGAAAGCCTTCGAGACTACCTGACCCGTTTCAGTAACGAGTCATCAAGCGTCTCCCAGCTGGACCAGGGGCTAGCCGTTTTCGCAATGCAGAATGGCCTTCAGCCAGGAAAGTTCCTAGACTTCATGGTCATGCATACCCCGCAGACCTTGGAGGAAGCTCTTAGTGCTTCGGATAAGTTCATCCGAGCCGAAGAATGGAACAAAGCGAAAACCCAACCTCAATCCGGGGGAGGGAAACAGAGGCAAATACCCTTGTCTGAAGGCCAAGGCCATAAGGCAAAGGGAAATTCAAAGGCCCCGGAGCAATCTTTGGCCAACGACCCAAAGAAGGAAAGATTTGCCTCATACACAGGCAGATACGAGTCCTACACTCCGCTCTCTCTTCCACGCGCCAAAATTTACAGTGTGACGAAGGAGGAGCAGAGTTACCGAAAGCCGAGACCACTCCCAGAGTGGTATCAGCGAAAAAATAAAAATCAGTGGTGTGAGTTCCACGAGTCTTCGGGCCACAACACTGAGGAGTGTATCCAACTGAAGGACCAGATAGAGGACATGGTCCGGAAGGGATACTTGAAAAAATACATCGCGGATCACCGCGAGAAAAAAGAATCCGAGAGGTCAGCAAAGGACCCTCGGCAGGACCTTGATTTCCCCCGGAAAAACAGTAAAAAGCCGGAGGGGAAATTCCCTCCGATCAATGTTATCTCGGGAGGAATATACTCTCGGAGGGAGCACAAGCGCCACCTTAGAGCTTTGACTCACCAGGTGAACAACGCTGACATTCAATCTCCCCAGCCGCCGGTGCCGAACATGACGTTCACAGCCGCCGACTGCCGGGGGATTACGTTCCCTCATGAGGATCCGTTGGTGATCATCGCCACGGTGGCCAACCACGACGTCAGTAAGGTCCTTGTTGACGGTGGCAGTGGAGCAAACATTCTGTTCCGAAAGGCGTACAATCAAATTAAGCTGAAGCCCAAGCACCTTACGCCAGTACCCTATCCGGTATCCGGGTTCAATGGGGCTTCAACTTATCCAGATGGGAAGGTGACACTTCCTGTCACCATCGGTTGCGATGAGGCAGCCCGGAACGTCATGATTGAATTTTTGGTCATCGACGCTCCTTCAGTGTACAACGTGATTTTGGGGAGACCCATAATTCACGAGATCCAAGGGGTCGTCTCAACTTATCATCAGCTGATGATTTACGTCTCAGACGCCGGCTTCCCCGAAAGGATACAGGGCAACCAAAAGGACGCCCGAAGGTGCAACTACCTCAAGCCATCCAGTAGTCGCCCAGATGACGACAAGGATGAGGAGGAGAAAGAAAAAGAAAGAGAGCCAAGCACAAAAAAGCCGAAAGACCTAAGTGCTTCGGCCCAAGGATCCGTGCCCAGAGAAAAAGGGCCCGAAAGGGAAAAGGCTAGCTCTTCAGCTGAGCCGCAAGACTCAGAGAGCCAGCCGAAGAACACAAAGACTGGGACACCTGCTGACATTGGCAGCAGACCAGATTCTGAAGAGTCCAGTCCATCGGCAATGGACATGGACCAACAGACTGAAACGGTTGAGTTGGCCGAAGGAGACGCTGAGAAATGTGTAACAATCGGGATGGACCTTGATCCGAACACCCGTTGCGAACTTATTCAGCTCCTTCGGGATAACAGAGATGTGTTTGCTTTCTCGGCAGCTGATATGCCCGGGATAAGTTCAGACCTCATCTCCCATAAGCTTAATGTTGACCCGACGTGTCGACCAGTTAAGCAAAAGAAGCGGAATTACTCCGCCAATAAGAACCGAGACATCGCAGCCGAGGTCAAAAAATTATTGGAGGCAGGATTCATTGAACCTTGCCAATATCCAGAATGGTTGGCAAATGTGGTGATGGTTCAGAAGCCCAATGGTACCTGGAGGATGTGCGTTGACTTCACGGACCTAAATAAGGCTTGTCCAAAGGATTTCTATCCCTTGCCGAGAATCGATCAGCTAGTCGATTCGACAAGTGGCCATGCCTTGCTTAGCTTCATG